CCCCCCACCCCGGCCCTCACCAGCACCCCTTATTCTTCAGAGTCTCGAACTGCGTTTCCCCGCAGCGGCCGGACGCTTGACCTGATGCCTCGGCTTGCATGGAGGCCCGGCTGCTGGGCTCGGAGACCCCGGCCATCTGTGCACTGGGCCTTGGGCCGACCGAGGGATGGGGCAGGCAGGGAGCCCCCGGGGTGACCCCTGTCTGGTCCCAGGCTGGCGCGGTGCTCGCGGGCCTGGGGTGGGGGCGCAGGTGCTGGCCACCACTGCGCACACCGGCCTCCTGGATCGTCTTGGCCCGGGCAGAGCCAAGCCTGCCCATCTGCCCTCTCCCCAACCTGTGGCCAAGCTCCTGGGGGCCCCAGCTCCCTGGGGTGCAGGCTGGGCCCCCCCTTTGTTCTCCCCGCTAGGCCCCGGTACCTCAGCTTCGCCACCCGATCCACGTTGCTGCGTGTGGGGGCCGTTTCCTCTCACCGAGGGTGTCGGGAGTGGGGTTGGCTCCTGACACCTGCCTTCCAGTGTCCACTGCGCCATAGCTGTCTCGTCTTCTTGTTCTTTTCCCGGACTGAAAGCACAAAGTGAGGACAGCAGGAACCTGCCAGGAACATGCCCTGGGCACCGCCCTGAGCGGCCCCCTCCCGGGGCCAGGGCCACAGCGGCCAGCGGGTCTGAGCCCGGGGTGCAGCCGGCCAGGGCACCTCTTCACGTCGGGGCCTGAAGACTGGTGTGCAGGGCATCCCCAGCCCAGTGGGGGCCCGTCCGGAACTGGGGGGACGTTCTGAAGAAAACGGGGCACAGCCGTGCGTGTCCAGGTCACAGCCCACCGTCGTCGGCGGGAAAAGACGCGTTTACCTCTTCACCTCGGACGCGCTGCCGTTGGGGTGCCGCATGGTGGAGCCGTTACCTGCTTGCAGATGCACCCCACTCGGACTCCGTCACCTCGGCCCCCTCGGGGAGGCCCAGTCCCTGTGGGGCCCTCTGGGACACCAGCCAAGGAATCGACCTGGAAGCTCAGGGTGTTACGTGAGTCACCTTCTCGCGGCCCTCGGAGTGACCTCCCAGGACGTTTCTGGTCTGAAGGGAGAAAATTCCAAAGGGGGGGGGGGACGCCACCCACCTGCGGCCATCGGGCAGGGCCTGCGCTTTGGAAGATTCCCAGATGTTCGCTGCGTCTCACCCAGGCTCACCGGGAAGCCTGGACCCCGGGATCTTCCAGGGACGGGGGGCCGCTGGTGGGGCCGAGTTTGAGGGCTGCTTCCGTGGGCCCAGCAGACCCAGATGGGGTCTTGCCTGGGTTAGGGGACCCCAGCTTTGGGTAACAGAGAAGAGCAGCCGGGCCTTGGGCTGGACCATCACGCCCGATGGGCTGCTGGGCCGAGTCTGGCTCCCTCCTCCATCAGCTCGGGTGGGAGTTTCTGGGCTCTCCAGTGGGCATCCCTAGTGCGGACCCCACCTTTCTCCCACCTGATCCCACCTGCCCGCGTCCCCTCTGAGCTCCGCCCCCCGGCCCCGAGGCCCCGGGCTTAGCGTCTCTTTCCCCTGGGAGGTCTCCACATGTACTCACCTGTACTCACCTGTTGCTCACCTGTGCTCACCTGTGCTCACCTGTGGCTCACCTGTGCTCACCTGTGCTCACCTGTGGCTCACCTGTGCCAGGACGTTCGCCCAAATCACACTGTCCTGTATCCGCGGGGTGTGTCTCCTGGGGTTGGGCCCTGTGGTCCCCCCACAGGGGGCAGCGGGCAGGGTGACCCGGTTTCTCTGGGGGGAGATGCTGGCGAGGGGCAGAGCACCCTCACGGATGGGGT